AAATTTTAACCGAGAGGCTCACTAAGGTAATGCCCGATAATTGGAGCACTGCCTGTGATCTCCCTTCTTGAACAGCGGTACAACCCCCTCCTTCTTCAGTCCGCCTAATGTCTTCCCCGTAGTCACTGCAGTTTGACAAACACGTGCAAGCCAGCATGTGTCTTGTTCGCCTAATGTTGTGAACATTTCAGGGCGAATTTTATCAATTCCAGCAGCATTTCCATTTTTCAAGCTTTCCATAGCTTATGTGATTTCATCTACAGAAGTTATAATATTTGTTCCCTGCTGCTCTTCAGGCGAGTCAGTTTAAGTAGTTCCTCAGTATACACTCTCCATCGTTGCAGAACATCCTCATCCACGATAAAAAGGTATTGAAACATATCTTTCAGGACTCATAGATTGCTCTTCTTTTCACCTAAGAGGTAAGGAATAGTCTGCTAGAATGCCTTGTTTGCCATCCAGAAATTCGATTGCAAAACCTCACCAAAGCTCTTCCAGGAATCACCTTTGGCTTTCCTCACTGCTTTCGCTGCCGCCTTGCGCGCGTCGACATATTGCATGGAGCAGAAGGCTCTTTGTTTTCCAAACCTTTTCTTGAATGCAGTCTTCTCACTGATTGTCAGTTGAACCTCTCATTTCCACCAGAAAGTTTGTTTCTGACCTGCAGGCCGCACTCAGGGCAGCCACAAGTAAGCCGTTGTTAGTGAGCTTCCACTTGGCTTCCCCACCAGCGGTCGTCACTGCGATCTGTTAAAGCCGTCGTGCAAGGAGGTAAATTTGTAAATTTCGCCCTTCTGTCCTCAGTACTTCCCATTTGAGTCTCTGCTTTGCAACGAGGTCGTCGCATGTTACTCAATTTTTCATATTGTAGGGTGCCAACATCAAGGTAATGATTGGTTGACAGCTTTGCGCCTCCCTTAACGCGAACATTCATAATAGAATGTCCTACGTCAGACGATACGATTATCATATTAATCATCGCCTTCTGTGCGTAAGCCTCCCTATACCAGATATGCTGATTAACGTTTAGATGCTCGGTGTTCATAACAGACAATTCATTGTTTGTACAAACCGCAACCATTGTTGCTGAAGTTCCTAAGACCGTTCTTTCCAGTTACGCCTTTCGACTTTTCATTATCTGCTCCTTTACGCGCATTGAAATCACTCATTAGAATGAGGGACTCCTTAGTCGGCACTTTGTACAGATCACTTCCACTTCCTCAAGGAAGGACTCATATTCTCCTTACAAATTAGGCGCAGCGCCTAAGCGGTTGTAGCTTCTCTCAGAGGATTGCCACTTTTCTGCTGAGAGGCTTCGATTAAGTGATTCTATCAGATATGTTTACTAGCAGAACACCAGCCTGCCTGAGCGCTCTGTCATGACATCGATTTTGAATATCTTTACGCCGCTTATCCTAAGGGTTGTTTTTTACAGATCAAGAAGGCTTTTGTTACGGTGGTTGATAAAACTTC